TTGGTTGGTTGGTTGGTTGGTTGGTTGGTTGGTTGGTTGGTTGGTTGGTTGGTTGGTTGGTTGGTTGGTTGGTTGGTTGGTTGGTTGGTTGGTTGGTTGGTTGGTTGGTTGGTTGGTTGGTTGGTTGGTTGGTTGGTTGGTTGGTTGGTTGGTTGGTTGGTTGGTTGGTTGGTTGGTTGGTTGGTTGGTTGGTTGGTTGGTTGGTTGGTTGGTTGGTTGGTTGGTTGGTTGGTTGGTTGGTTGGTTGGTTGGTTGGTTGGTTGGTTGGTTGGTTGGTTGGTTGGTTGGTTGGTTGGTTGGTTGGTTGGTTGGTTGGTTGGTTGGTTGGTTGGTTGGTTGGTTGGTTGGTTGGTTGGTTGGTTGGTTGGTTGGTTGGTTGGTTGGTTGGTTGGTTGGTTGGTTGGTTGGTTGGTTGGTTGGTTGGTTGGTTGGTTGGTGCACACGCATGCGTGCATGATTTGTTGCTATAATGAAGATAATTGCTTATAAATTATTCTACCTCGTGTCAACATGTTTAGGTTGTTTTAGGTACTAAACTGTGACTTGGGTTAGTGATGTTGTTTGCTGATCCATTTCAGATAGCAAAATGTCAAGAGACAGCCATAACTATGAAGCAAGAGAGCCCCTTTCAAACAACAAGAATAATACCAACTTTCCCAGAGTATCATGGTGCTCACTTTTGAAACAAGTGAATGGTTTCCATTCACAGAAAAGTCATACCAGTGAAATGTCCTTCTGTTTTCTCAAATCTTTTTTCCCTGAGCAGATGCACATTGTGGTTACATATCATGTACCCTGAGGAGTGCATTCTGACATGTTTTTAATTACAGTAACATTTCCCTAAATGGGATGCAATATGACTGAATACACTTCAGTACCGGAATATTCCCTCTGGGTTTTTTTTTAATGAATTTTGTTACGTCAATGTTTTGGCAACATTTCCTTGATGGGTACAAGTTTCTCTGCTGCGTTTGTGCCTCTTGCAGCAGAGAAACTCGTAGTCAGGCTTTGTTGTCCTTGCAACTCTACCATGAAGTCCTCAAGAGGAAAACATGAAAGGGCTCAGGGGAAAGAGCACCACCTGGTGGAAAGATCCACAAAGAAGTGAAACACAGAGGCCGATGACATAAGTTTTCCAAGGTATCAACACTCTGCTCACTTAAAAAAAAATTAAAGGGACATACAGGCAAACAACATAACTGGTGGAAGGAACCCAAGGCAGATTGCGAGAAAAAGTACCAGTACAGCTGTGCACAGAGGATGCCAATGTAAAACTTGTGTGATTAATCCCACAACAACAAAAAGTTGAAGCCTCCTGGTGGGTGGAATTTGATGCAAAGATAGCACGGAGTCAGACCAAAAGATTCGGTAGTAGCCGTGTGTTCTCTGACCACTAACAAAAAAAAAAAATTGAAACCAGTGAGGAAGAATTAGGAAACATTTTGGTGGTGTGACCACAGGCTAGCTTTACTTTCTTAAAGTGCCTATAGAAAAAAGGCCAGAGAATAATTTGTGAAACTCCCAGTTAAGCAACAACAACAACAACAAAAAGCATAATTCCTTTCTGTAGGAAGTGTTCTTTAATTTGTGGTATGTGTGTGCACGTGAGTGTGTGTGTGTGTGTGTGTGTGTGTGTGTGTGTGTGTGTGTGTGTGTGAGAGAGAGAGAGAGAGAGAGAGAAGAATGACAATATGAATTGTGAAACAGAAGAAAAACATTTTTAAAGGGTGACAATTTGAGAGGCCTGAAACCACTTTCATGTTGGAGAGAGGGAACTAATGCGGTGCTTTGGGTTTGTGAAACCAGATGTCAAAGGAATCCTATGATTTAAATCCTAAATAGTTCGTTTGTTTAGTCATTTAGTCGTGTCCGACTCTTCGTGACCCCATGGACCAGAGCATGCCAGGCCCTCCTGTCTTCCACTGCCTCCCGGAGTTTGGTCAAATTCATGTTGGTAGCTTCAGTGACACTGTCCAACCATCTCATCCTCTGTCGTCCCCCTTCTCCTCTTGCCTTCACACTTTCCCAACATCAGGGTCTTTTCCAAGGAGTCTTCTCTTCTCATAAATCCTAAATACCAACCACCAAACAAAGCAAGCTAATTTGTGTACTTACAGGAAAGAAGGGAGCTCCTGAGGGCGCTCCTGACAGTTTTCCTTCATCTTCTGATCACAGATTATTTACAATGTTTGCCCCGCCCCCCGAGACTCGGCAGGAGCTGCTTTTACCTCTTGGGTTTCCAAATAATGTATTTGCTTTTAAAAAATTAACACCATCCCAACCTTTCTCCTAAAAAGAGATCCAAGCCAGCTTATATATAATTAAAACGCAATATTACAACCTTAAAACAGTGAATTAACTGCATTGTATTAAAAATGTTCGGTAAAAGCATTACTAAAAGCAGAGAAGCAACAAAAAAGTAGACTTCAGTCTAGATGGGCAGGATATAAATTAATTAAATAAATAAAATACAAACTAACCCATTGTCTCTTAGACAGCCAATCATGGAGGGAAAGCTTGCCTGAAGAGAAAGGTCTTTGCCTGCTTGCAGAAGGACAGCAAAGATGGGGCCTGCCGGGCCTCCAGTGGGAGGGAGTTCCAAAGTCTGGGAAAAACAACAGAAAAGGCCCTCTTCCTAGTGTCCCCACAAAGTAGATCTTTGAGGGTGGTGGGACTGAGAGAAAGACTTGATTATCTTAACACCCAGACAGGTTCATGAAGAGGAGACACACAAGCCATTTAGGGCTTTATAAATTAAACACATCCAATGGAGCTGCTGTACAGATGTTTGTGTGTGTGTTATGTGATACCTGGAACCAGGCTGTTAACAAATTAGCTTGCTTTTTGCGGGAAATGGACTTCAGGAACAAAACCCAGGTTTCCTTTGAAGTCTAATCATTGAGACGAAAGAAAGGCTGCTTATGGCTTCCCTCCACCAACTGTTTTGGCCCTTAGAAAACCAGATTAAATCTTCTTGCAACTGGAGGAGTACATGTAGCGTTCCTGCTTTGTTTTGTTGAACCTGATGCGTAAGAAAATGGCTTTAAAAGCCAAGCAAAGGGTTTCTTCATTAATGAGCTACAGACCTTTGTGGTGCAGTGGTTAAACTGCAGTACTGCAGTCAAGACTCTGCTCACAACCTGAGCTTAATCCCACGTGGCTCAGGTAGCCAGGTTCGGGTTGACTCGGCCTTCCATCTTCCGACATCGGTAACTTAGGTGCCCAGCTTGCTGGGAGGAGGGCAACATGTAACCTGAAAAAACTACATTGTAAACCACCCAGAGACTGATTTAAGTGCTATGCAGCAATATATAAGCAGCACACTTTTGCTTTATTGCAGGGCTTTAGCTTCTGGCCACTCAGCTCCTCTGCATCCATTCTCGGTCTCTCAGTCTCTTTTATTAAAAGAGTTACATCCAGCCCTCTCCCTGCCCTTTAGAAAGTACAGTCGTGCCCCACTTGGCGATTACTCTGTTTAACGATGAATCCGCTTCACGATGAGGTTTTTGCGATCGCAAAAGTGATCGCAAAATGATATTTAAATGGAGTTTTTTTGCTTAGCGATGATCGGTCCCCTGCTTTGGAAACCGATTTTTCGCTAAATGATGTTTTTTCAACAGCTGATCGGCGGTTTTCAAAATTGCCACCGGCTTTCAAAATTCCCCCCCCCCACTGTTTTTAGGCGGCATTTTTCACAAGACACGCACTGGAAAATGACCGCCCTATGGAGGATCTTCACTTTACGATGAGGTATTTCACCCATTAGAACGCATTAGCCGGTTTCTAATGCATTCTAACGGGCTTTTTTATTTCACTTGACGAGGATTTTGCTTAACAGCAATTTTAACGGCATGGATTATCCTCGTCAAGTGAGGCACCACTGTATAATAAAGTGGCTGCAGGCAGTATTCCACTCAATTGAAGAGTGGCAGTTCCAATTATTGTGGCTATTAAGATTGCTGTGATTATTATGCATATTACTTATGTGTCACCTTTTCGCCTGATAATGGGCTAATAAGGTGGGTTATAAAAATCTTTACATGGCCCTTCCATAATTATTCCTCTTCCCCCTCTTCATGCACACACACTGTAAACCGTCTAGCTACTGGTCTGCCATGTGTGTGAACGCCTCGGTAGTTGGTTGTGTGGCAGTGCGTATGTGCATGCCTTGTCCCCTCCCCCCTTCCCCCTTTTGACACCAGAGGTTCACAAGCAGGGCAGGGGGCATACCCTGAAATGTTGGGGTGGGGAACTCCCACCATCTCAGTACACTAGTCTCCCTTTAGGTTTAACATCCCTCCCCTGAACTTTTAAAGGGTACTTTGAAACACGAGTACAGTGGTGCCTCGCTTAACAATTGCCTCGTTAAATGACGAAACCACTTGATTATGAAGTTTTTGTGATCGCTTTTGCAACCACAAGATGATGTTTAGATCGGGAAATTTCGCTTAACGATTTTTCGCTAAACGACGATTTAGAAACAGCTGATCAGTGGTTCTAAAATGGCCTCCTGCTGTGCAAAATGGCTCCCCGCTGTGTTTTCAGGATGGATTCCCTGCTTTACAGGCAGCGAAAATGGCCGCCCCTATGGAGGATCTTCGCTGGACGATGAGTTTTCAGACCATTGAAAGGCATTCAACCGGTTTCAATGCATTTCAATGGGCTTTTTCATTTCACAAGACGATGTTTTTGTAAGACAGCGATTTTCGTGGAACAAATTAACATTGTCTTGCAAGGCACCACTGTAATGGCGTAAGCCAGTGGTGAAGGCTTCTGGGAGTTGCAGTCCAAGAACATCTCTGGGCTTATGGTTGGGAACCCCTGATGTAAGCTGTATCTCTTTATGTTTCTCCCCACACCACTGGCTAAATGTACAGGACCACGTTTCTAGGAAAATAGTAAACATAACTTAGTTGTTGCAGTGTGCCCTCGTTCCTTACAGGGACAGCAGAGCCCATGGGGTGACGAGGGAGCCATATCCCTTAAGAGAGAACCCTCGGGTCCATAGATCATTTATTTGGTATCTTTCTCACAACAGTCCTTTCAGTGGACCAGCCTGCCAGCTTCCCAATCCAAAAAAACAATGTCCTGTTTCTGGACAAGATCCATGTCAATCCAAGGGCAAGAACTGGCCTTTGCTCTGCCTTGGGACAGATCCATCACACTCTCTTGTCCTCCATGAAGCATCACCTTTCTGGACCAGTATTTCCCTGTGGATTACTTGAAGACACCTCTGGAAAATCAGGAGACTCTTCATCATCATCCTGTGCTGCATGGGCTGGTTCTTCTCCTTTCGGCATCTCCTCACTCTTCCCGGAGAAGTATACTTCTTCTGTTGCTGTTCCACTGGGTAAATCCACTGGTCCATCAATCTCCATTCCTGTCTCGCCAGACATTTTTCTTCTCTTGGTGGATACCTTTAACCCAAAAGGATGTTCTTTTCCCATTGCCTTAGAACTACTGGATGGCCCCGTGTCCGTCTTCCTGCCACCTGACAATGTCCTTCCTCCAAATGATGTTGTTTCTTCCTCTTCTTTCCTGCCGTCTGACGTGAATACTTTTAACTCAACCACATCGGGTGGCCATCTTTTAGAGCTTTTCTCATCTGACAGCTCAGGGGGTCTATTGGACATCCTCCTTGCCTGATTGGATGGGCCCTCCTCCGCCCCTCTCTTCCCTTCCGATCTCCTCACTCGAAAGGATGTCCCTTCTTTCCCAGATCTTCCACCCAGTGACCTCGTTGCTCTGCTGGACGAAGGCCTGTCCCCCAAAGCAAGAACTACTTCCCTCCGACAATGTTGGTCTCCAACAATGTTGAAAATAGAGATCCAGCTTTCTCCATGCCCGGAAACTATCTTGAAGTTCTTCCCGTCACAGTCGATGAAGACAGTGGCATTTGCCCGGCGTTGTGGGGACAAAGCATTAAATTCTTGCATGGCTCGCTTCAGGCAGGCCCGGAGGTCCACCGTACATCCTTTCAAGTTCTCGATTTCTTTCCACATTTTCAGCAAGTTCTCTGTGGTGAGCGGCATGGGGCGACAGCTCAGTCGGTCGAAATAAACATCCACACAGGGAACGCGAACCCTGTACCGAGGTTGCCTTTCCGTATAGAGGATGTAGATGTGGGACCGTCCTTTCCCAGAAATGAAATCCAAGCAGGAACCACCGCACTGAATCGTCAGTTGAGCATCATCCATCACTGAAGATGGTTCCTTCTCGGTCTCCAGCAGGGCAACGTCCAGGCAAGCACAGAGTTCCTTGGTGGCCTCATCCCACTTCATGAGCTCCTGCCTCACCTTCTGCAAGTTCTCAGAGGTCAGAGGAGGTGGGGAGAGTGACAGCCGGTCCAAGTACATGTCCAGATTGGGGATCTCAACGCTATAGTACGTTTTCCTCTTTAGCCAAGAGACGGCTATCTTGTTCTCACCGGTGCCAGAGACAAACACCATCCTTTCCCTCCCTTTCACTTGAACAGTCAAGGTAGCATTGTCTTGGAGTTGGCGTGGTTCGCGAGGAAACTCTCGGAGCGCGTGGTCTAAGCAAGCTCTCGCCATCTCATCCGCTTCCCGGTTGCCAGACTCCAAGCTCTTCTGCACCATCAGTAAGCTGTCTACGCTCAGTGGTGTCGAAGGGAGCTGTTTGGGGATGCAGGCACCCATACGAAGGAAGGCCCGATTCTGTGGAAGCAACGCCAAGCATGTCTTTCCATGCAATGAGTGACATCAGCGGTCCTTCAAGACCTGTAGGGGGGAAAAATTGAGTATAAGGATTTTCTCAGTACCTAAGTAACGATCTGATGTATATCCAATGGATCCAGATTGCCCTTCAGTACCAGTAAGGAACCTCTGAACCTACAGGCCAGATCTAGGCATTCTTCAGTCCAACCTGCAGCTCTTTCCCCAAGCCAGACCACCTTACCCCACTTAGGAATAATATTAATTTCCATTATAGCACACTGGAGCGGAAAGCTTTAAATTCCCTATCCAGTGCTCTGTGTTGATTAAAGTTAGGTCCTGTCCTTTCTTCATCAGACTAGAATAGATCAGCTGAGAAGGGAAGACTCTTGAGAATTCCTACTTTGGCAAGTGCTGAATGGATTTTTAGTACTATTTCTGTTTTCCATTTCTCAGAGTGACTTTTTTTGTGTGCTTATTGATCTTTGCCTTAATATTATTGTCTGTTCATGTTGTAAGATGCCTCCTTATTCATTGTTCATAGGTTTTTTTTAAAAAAAATAATGGTGTTGTTAACCACCGTTTGTATACTCATTGTTCTCAACTTGAAATATTGTCTTTCATTGTTTGTAAGTCAACGTGTAACCGTTGGAAGGAAGGAAGGAAGGAAGGAAGGAAGGAAGGAAGGAAGGAAGGAAGGAAGGAAGAAAGAAGTTGAATTGAGGGAGCTAAAACTCTCCACACCACATTTTATTATTTGTCTTATTTATAGGCTGTCTTTCTTCAGATAAGGGGATTTAAGGGAATTCTGTATTTAAAAGAAAATAATTCAAAACACAGTATGGATTGGCAACATCTTATATTATCAGGTAAGAACAGCCACTGGACATGGCATGGGTTAAGCAAAGAATGTAGAGACTCAATGATCAGTGGAAACACTGATATACCAATCAGAGTGGCAGCTGTAGAGTAAGTAAATAACGTAATGAAAAAGACAGGTATGCTGGTGAGTATGTCTACATGACATATCCTAAAGTCATAAGAATGAATCCATTTTCCACTCTTGCTGCTTCTAGGAAGGGTATGATGACATTTTTCTAAACTGGCTTATGATCTTGTTTAATTTAATGTGATAATTTTAAACATCGATTGATTTATGATTTCTTTTAATGGTCGTGTTTGCTTTAACTTGATTTTAAAGATTCTGTTGTCAAAACGGATATTCATTTCTTTCTTGTTTTTATTACACTTTATGATGGTTGCAAGCTGCCCTGAGCACTATCTTCTAGCAGAAAGGCAGGGCAGAAATTAAATTCACAGTAATAACCCTAAAATCTGGGGTTGCCAGGTCGACAGTGATATGTTCTCTGAGATTTCAGGCTCCAAGCCTGAGATCTGAAAAATGAAGCCCCAAACCTCACTCTAAGGGCTCACGTCTGCCACCTAGGAATGCCAGAGCTACTGCCATATACTCAGCAAAAGTAATCCCAAATTGAAAAGAGGAATATTTTGGAGTTTATATTACTATAAAGAAGGTTCCCAACAGGGTTCTAATTTTTTTTGTTTTATTTTGTTCTGGGTGGGTGTGATTTGAGATGCTGCAGAAAGAAAAAAACTGTCAGCTGACACTCTGCATTTGAGGAAGAAGCAACCAAGCCTTGAACACTAGCACTCAAAAGTTGGCTGAAAGTGAGAATGAGGCATTTCTAGAAGGGCTTCTATCTGCAGAAAAGGTTTGTGCTTGATCCTCAACGCCTACAGTTGATGTATTTGTTACTTTGGACTGCACTTCCCTGCATGGATTTCCCACGTTACTACTAAAAAGCTGAAGAAGTAAATCCAGATTGAGAAAACAGGAACTACATATTTCAGGGAAACCACATTAATATAACGTTGACATTTTTTTTAAAAAAATGGGTAATTTACTGTTTTTAGTTTTTAATGTTGCGTTTTTAATGATGTAAGCTGCCTTGGGTCCTTTTTAAGGAGAAATGTGGGGTAAACATTATTTTAAACACAATAAATACTGTAACCCAAATGAGTTGTCGCTAAGAAGTGTATCACTGTTCCAAAATCAGACATCTCAAGGAATGGGCACAAGGGGCTCACCAGCTTTAACTGTGAAAATGCACTCCTGGCCACTGCCGAAACCTGCGCCTCTAAGCTCAGGATGGAATCCAGGAGAATTCTCAAGCTGCAAACCTGATTTTCAGAGGAAGTGTGACCCCATCCAGTACAGTCTGGATCCCTTGATTTGCCCTGTGACTGACCAGGAACAATTCTGTCTTGGATTAAGTTCCAGCCCTCATCCAGTCCATCACTGACAACCAACACTGGTCTAGACACAGAACAGCTTCCTTGGAATCAGATGGAAAGGAGAGATACGAGTTGGGTGTTATCAACACACCAGTGACACCAAACCCCCAAACTCTTGACAACATATCTCAGTGGCTTCGTGTAGATGTTGAATAGCAAGGGGGATAGGACTGAACCCTGGACAACAGCCCCAAGCCAATGGCCAGGATGTTGAACAAGATACCCCCCCCCAATACCACTTTATAAATTTGGCCATCCGGGAAGGATTGGAACAACTGTAAAACAGTACCTCCAAGGCCTATCCCAGAAAGACCCCCCCCACGAAGGATATAATGGTGATGGTATTGAAAGCTGTTGAGAGGTCCAAGCAGAACCAACAGGAACACACTCTCCCCCTGTCCATTTCATAGCATAGGTCATCCATAAAGGCTACCCAAGCTGCCTCTGTTCCATAAGCAGGCCTGAAATGATATTCAAGGGGCATCAAAATGATTAACATCATCCAGGAACCACTGGAGCTGAGACACCACCACACACTTCAAGACCTTGCCCAAAAATGGAATATTGGAGACTGGCCAATAACTATCCAAGACAGAGAGATTCCAGGAGGGCTTTTTAAACAAAAAAATCTTACTACCGCCTCCTTCAGTTATTCTGTTGTAAGGAGACATTCACCACTCTTCTAAGCCACTCAGTCTGTCTCTCTGTGGCCGCTTTTATAACCCAGGAAGGGCAGAGGTCCATCAACCCACGTGGTAGCCTTCACATCTCCAGATATCCTGGCCGCATCTTCAGACAACAGAAGCTGAAATGTAGCCATTATAATAGAACAACCAGGAGGCAAAGTTACATCAACAGGACCTGCATCAGTTCCTATGATCTGAGCAACTTTGATGTCTACAAAATGCCCATTGGGCAGTTCTGTGTAGATGCAATGGTGGCAGAGAAGAATAGCTCCTTTGCAGCTACAACTGCCACATAATAGGCTTCCCGTTGAGCTCTAGCTGATTTTCGATCAGATCTGCTCCCAATTGTCCGCCATCATCATGCTAGTCTCTGTCCCACTCATAGAATCATCTGCGCTCCATGGGAAGGGCTGCTGAGGAACTATTGGGCCAATGGCCCTGGCCATTTCTCCATTCGAGATGTCAGCCAAGATCTCAACAGGATCTCTGTCTTAAACTGCTGTGGAAAGCACAGTCGTATGGAGTAATTGAAAATCAAACCAAGCAGAAATGTAAAGTTGCACGCTCCTGCCTTATGCAGATCAGCACAGAAGCTTAGTATGAAGTCAATGGGTCTCTGTGTTATCAGTGAGGTAGCTCAAAATTCCCACTTTAGTGAAATAACCATGCAACAGAAGAGGGAGCAGCCAAACTTTATAGAAATCTGATTATATATGTAACAAAGCAAAAAAAAAAGTACACAGTAATTAGTCAGTGTTCAATAGTCTTGAGTGCGATGCCTTAGGAAAATAAAGTGTGTAAAGGAAAATAAAGAGGTTTGTAAGCCAAGACTGAAATTATAGGCACAACTGAGGGGAACTCAGTCTTGAGAACAAGACTGTGTAATCAATCGTCAAACACTGAGACAAATCCACTTACCTCTGCGCCTCTGTTCATGGCATCCATGGGAGCTGGGGAGAGGCCGAGGACCAGAGAGAATGTGACTTGCTCGTCATTGGTCTTTTTAGCTGTGATGTCACAGACCCATCACTGGGAATTCCATTCCATCATGTAGTCCATTAAAAGGAGAGATTTGAAACTCTCCATTAAGGAAGGAAATTTTATCCCTTTCACTTCTGCAACAGCTCCTGCCACTGCTGTTACTAGTACGTATTGTTACTGTAGTGTTTCAGTTAAGGGCTCAGCTGAGACCAAAGTGTAATTGGATCCTAGCTAAGGACTCCAGCTGAGAGCAATGTAAAAACATGGACTCCCCATATAAAGCAGACTCCTATGATGAATCAGTGCAGGAAACAACTGTTGCCTTCACCTGCCTTGGTATTTCCTGGAGCTTCTCTTGACCCTTGGACCGGACCTGGTGCTTCTCGAGTCTAGCATTGTTACTGTTGGTTCTGACTGATTCTCTGGCTTCTGACCTTGGACTGGGTTATAGGACTCTGCCTTTTGTTTATGGAAGTAAATCACGACTGTTACATGCTGTGGAGTTGATTTAGCCCTTCTCTTCAAACTAGGGACAGTCGGTTAAGAGACTTTCCTCCACTATCTTGGATCTTGATTTGGAGTGACAGGAGAAAGCTCACTTCTGAATGGTAGAAAGTGGTTCCCAGTGAGGTTGTATGAAGTGGGAGGTCATCACGCTGTCCTGGGGATGTGGCGTACCAATGCCACTTTACCTGAATTTGCTTCTGCAGTCTCACCCAGCCTTCTCAGGGGGAGGGCAGCATAAACATCATGTACCTGTGAAAATGGGAATGAATCAAGGACTGAGGGTTGGGCTTTGTTTCTCACCCTCCATGTTGGCCTTCATGGCTTTGTCTTCCATAGGAGGGAATTCTGAGAACTGCTCCATTAGCTCCCACATGCTCTGGAATAGACACTGAATGGTGGGGCTTTGTACCATTGAGCTTTGCAGATGGAAATATCTGAAGCACTTAATGAGGAGTCAATGAATGGGGAGCAAGTACAGTGGCACCTCGCAAGACGATTGCCCTGCGGGACGATTAATCCGCAAGATGATTGGTTTTTGCGATCGCTGTTGCGCTTCGCAAGACAATGTTTTCTATCTATGGACGATTTTCGCAAGATGATGATTTTTCCCCATTGGAACGCATTAAGTAGATTTCAATGCATTCCAATGGGGAACCACGTTCAACAAGACGATGTTTTCTATGGACAATATTCTCAAGACAATGTTTTCTCCTTTGGAACACATAAAATAGATTTCAATGTATTATTATTATTATTATTATTATTGACGATTTTCGCAAGATGATGATTTTTCCCCATTGGAACGCATTAAGTAGATTTCAATGCATTCCAATGGGGAACCACGTTCAACAAGACGATGTTTTCTATGGACAATATTCTCAAGACAATGTTTTCTCCTTTGGAACACATAAAATAGATTTCAATGTATTATTATTATTATTATTATTATTATTATTATTATTATTATTATTATTATTATTATTATTATTATTATTATTATTATTATTATTATTATTATTATTATTATTATTATTATTATTATTATTATTATTATTATTATTATTATTATTATTATTATTATTATTATTATTATTATTATTATTATTATTATTATTATTATTATTATTATTATTATTATTATTATTATTATTATTATTATTATTATTATTATTATTATTATTATTATTATTATTATTATTATTATTATTATTATTATTATTATTATTATTATTATTATTATTATTATTATTATTAATTTGATTTATATCCCGCTCATCTGGTCAGACTGACCGCTCTGAGCGGCTTCCATAAAAAATATACAATAAAGCATAAAAATTATTACAAGTAAACAACACCACATATAATAAAACAAATAGATAGAAAGAGAAAGGAAGTTAAGTATTGACAGGAGGGAAGGCGTGAACATATAACCATGTTTTTAGCTGGTTCTTAAATGTGCCTTGTCCACAAACGTTTATATTTAAATAGCAGATAGGCCTTAAGGGTGGCACAACGTTTTGGTCTCCTTTAATTTTTATCTTTATTTCATCAGAACTACAGAGATAGAAGGGATCCTATGGGATCATCTAGTCCAGCCCCTGTCAAGGAGGCACAGTGG